CATATAGGCCCCTACGCGCCGCTGAGCTTCTGCAGCGTGAACAGAGGTACTTAAAATGTGATAACAAGTTTTTAGGTTTTCAATGGTGAATTTTCACTAAAAGCTGTCTAAATCATAAAAAATTCATATTTTGCAAAAGCTTTGGTTTATAAGCCTAAAAGTTTCGCAGTGAGTAGACAACACCTATCTTCAACTATGGTGAAAATTTCCGACTCCTGGCTGATCATGGTTAATTATTAATTAATTATTATTAATGGCATTTTCATTAATTAACTCATATCTCCGTCAAAAAGGCGCAAGGGCCCAAACAAACATGGGGTTTTTCATTGCTGGCTATTCCCTACATGATGAAAATAGTCTGAGTCGAAAAACTTTTAATCACCTCGAGAGGTTCCCTCGTCAGATGAGCTTAGCCTTTTCATTTAGCTCTGCTGGCGAGCAATTGATTTCAAAGACTTGTCTCCATGGTTCGAAGAGAGAGCAGGAAAGCCATCTTAGTTGACCAGACTTCTTCCAGAACTTGACCATTAACATTTAATTTGTTTAAGTGAATATTTTCTTCGATAAGAAAAAAGTGTTTTGTTTTGCCAAATAATCATCAGATAACTCAAAAACCAGGCAGTATCCTTTTCGGAAAAATACTCTATCTTAAAGTCCGACTCGACTAATTTACATTCGTTAAAAAAGGGAGAAAGGATGCCTTTTTAATTAAGGCTTGTGAGAAGATTAGAAAATTTCTAGTGTATCGTTCTCCTTTCGTTGAAAAGAAAAAAATCTTCGTAATGCGATAAAATTGATTATTTGATTTGAAAACGGATATACATACATACATACGTGTAACTGATATTTATGAATAGAAAAAATACAGTTCAGCTTTAAATTGTGTTAGATTGTGTAACTGATAATAAAAAATGAAAATTTTTTTCTATTTGTAGATAGAAATGTATCCGACTTCTTTCATTCAGCAAAAACACAGGACGAAAAAGAAAAACCTTTTTGAAAAACTTTAAAAAATTTCTGTAAACTTTTAAAAATTAAAAAAAATGGGGAAAACGTGTCTGGGAGGTTCAAACGTTTCACCATATACGTAAGTCGACATGGGTAACAAAGGAATATTAAAAACCAGGGGGTCCGCTCCCCTTTAAGTTAGCTTTCGAACTTCTGATCTTTCAGATTTTGGTGCATACAACGCCTTTCATGGCACTTGAAATTTTTTCCGAGAAGACGCGCAAAAAGCGTCAAATTACATGAAATTAATTATAGTAAGTACGAATAAGTGGTTTGAATTAGGGGTATTAATTTAGTGTAATCTTATAAAATAAATATAAATAAATGAAAAACAGTTTATCTTTATAAATGCGTCTTACTCGTTATTTCATTATTTTTTGGAATTATGCCTACAGTTCAGGTGTTTTCAAATCAGAAACATCTTCTAAGTAAAATACTTAGTCTGAATAGCAACAAATTCTGTGGTCAAGGAACATTTCACATCTACTGCATATATTCATAAAATCAAATCCTTATTTTTTTATTTTATCTTTATTTTTTACAAATAAATTTTTTTTTCATTTATTTATATTTATTTTTTAAATATAAATGCTGAATTTATATTTATCCATTATTATAAATGAACAGTAAAACTAAATTAACACCCCTTAATCCTTCTGGGATCCTTCTTCTTATGCTAACGATTCAGTAAAATAATGGTATACTTAAATATTCAGTATTCTATTGTATAACAACATACAAATACAGAAAGAAGAACAAGTTCTTCTACTTCGTCTTGTTCTAGGCTTGCATCATTACTGCACAAGATATTTGTAAGAAAAACATACGACTGTTATGAAAACAAACAGCGCGTTTCTATGTTTTCTACCTTTCATGGTGAAAAGAGAGAAACATTTTTTCAGGTACAGACTGACTAAAATCTTTCTTAGTGATGCATGATTGTAGCATGCACATTTCTGATTAAAACGCGGCATCTCCCAGTTCTTCATGATCTTTCTTTGCAAAGTTATTGAATTTACAAGGAAAGCCCTGAATTAATTTCTTCTTATTTCTGTGGGATTGAGCTGACAATGAACATCTAGGGCTTTTCTTGTAAATTCAATAACTTTGCAAAGAAAGGTTATGAGGAGCTGGGAGATGTCTCGTTCTAATTAGAAATGTGTGCGCTACAATCATGCATCGCTAAGAAAGATTTTGGTTACTTTTTAGAGAAAATCGGGACTTCAACAGCCATGAACTCGAATGCTTTTAGGGTTTTTACCAGCTCGATATACTCTATTGATTGAGCTATAACTCATTAGAAACGGAGCGTATCATTTCGGGCGGTTCCCTCGTTAGTTCAAATGCAGAATGAAATCAAGAAACAGAGAGACATGTTCACCAACATATTCTTTTCTTATAAATATGTCGTTAGTCTTTCGTTCTATCTTTAAGGAATGCTCCTGCTGTATATGTTTCGTTCTAGTAGAAAACTGAAGGGATAGAACTAATTAGTTCTTATTCATTCACATGTATGCACCGTTTTACTGTCCTCAGTAAATCTGTTTTGGACACCATGTAAAGAAAAACACGGAAAAACATTTAAACGGAACAGTTGTAAAAAATCGTCCTGAATTTTCAATTTCTTTAAAATATATTCCACTTTTGATTTTCACTTTGTCAGCAAGCATCCACCTCTTTGGTTGTATCATTTACTGTATACTGTTCAAAGGAGAAGAACAAGAATGGAATCGTCNTTCAGTCATGAGCGTTGAAATGTCAGAAATCGAACTTTCACTTTGCTCACACATGAATTCACCGGGGATTTTCAAGTTTAAAAAGCGTCGTTAATTTTATGTAACATCGATTTATGTTCTAGAGTATTGCTCTTGATTTTCTGAAAAATCAACAGCGGTTTTCAAAAAAAAGGGGAATTGATTTTCCAGAAAATCCAGACACGTCTTACGACAAAGGTAAAATTCTTGAAAATCTCGTTTTCAAGAAAGTAGAAAATCGGTGCTGAATTCGTATATGAACAGACTGCAAATAGTTTTTTATTTTCTATAATCAACCTATTTCGGAGTTTAAAGTGTAGCCCAAAGAAAAAAGCTGTTCTATAGAATTTGTAGGAGTTCGGTTATGGCAGCATCCCAGCAACTTTTCGCACACACTTTGGATAAAACGTGTACTCCCTGGGAGAAACTTTAGGTAGCATAAAAATGAAAGTTCGATTTCTGACATTTCAACGCTCATGACTGAAAAGTGCACAATAACAATCTCATAAATTTTCGTTGAAACAAACTCTCCATTCTTCTTTGTGTTTCTTACTATGGCTTTGTGGCGGTGGCAAAAGAGATGTATAAGTTATGGTACGATAACATCGATAACATACAATGTTTACAATCATTGTTAATACAGAACAAGAAAATAAGGTCGCAATAGCGAAATAAACAGTAGATAAGAGAAACTTTCATTATTGAATTATTTCGTGATCAGTTTTATATTCCGATTGACGATTCCATTCTTGTTCTTCTCCTTTGAACAGTATACAGTAAATGATACAACCAAAGAGGTGGATGCTTGCTGACAAAGTGAAAATTATTTGCCAAGCGTGTAATGTTTGCTAGAAATATCAACAGATTATAATCAGCTATGATTTTTGTTGCATTACTCACATTATTATTAGTAATTGCACCAACAACCGCCGGTGCTACAAATCCGGGAATTGCAGCCAGCGAATTTGTTATTCCCGTAAGTGTTCCTAGAAAAAAAATGCGTTTATTCATTATAAGATCGATCAAAGAAAGAAATTCATGTCAAATACCTGCATAATTCGATGCAACATCTAAATGTGATATCAAACAACCGCTGTTATGAAAACCCAAGAATACTACAGCAAGTATGGAACAAATAACTGCTCCTATATGATCACAACCAAGAAAGCCGATAGTAATCAAAAATATGGATGAACCAACTGCGCCTAGAACATATGACATAATTATTAAGGTTACTAACAAGAAATTCTCAAAAGGTTGTCATACAGAAATCTATTGGCTGTTTTTAGCAGTATGGGCGAAAAAAAAATGAATTTAAATATAGTCGTAAACTTGTAAGTCAATTAAGTTGACGTATATGTGTTAAAGATGTCATTACCAATGATTGTTTGTAATTTTCTTACATTTGTTGTTGTTAAAATATTTTTTGCCCTAATACGACGAACAATTTGCCCAGACACTATTGTAACTAAAAATATGCCAAAATAGGGTATGGCAAACAAAATACCATTCTAAAGAGAAAGAAAAATCCATACCAAACGTCTATATTATATATGGACGCTTATACACCACATTACCTGCTGTAAATTGAAATTTAATATTGTCGAAAAAAAAGTCGGTAATGAAGTGAATAATGTGACGTAAACATAATTCTGGCAAATGTGTATTGCAGCGATACCATATAAGGGACCACAAGTTAAAATCTTTTTCCACGGTGTAACAACTTTCTACAAATAAAAATAATTCTTTCCTGGAAATAATATTAGACAGATAGAATTACCTTTGATGACGGTGAAGAATATTGCAATAAATACGTTTTTTCTTTCGCTGATATTCTTGGATGAACAGATGGTGAATTGTAAGCAAAACATGACCAGCCAATAAACCATAAACATGAGAAAATACCTTGAAAGAAGCAGTAATCACTTTAATATTGAATAAATAAAAACATAAATTTCTGTTTGAATCACCAGTATTACTAGTGAATATTCAATGAATTAAAACATACCGACAACGTAGAATATACTAGGCCAACCCCCAAGAAATTTTGAAGTACTTAATAAACTGACTAGTGAAGTTGTGATTATAATACCAAAGTTCGTTCCTGTCTGAGCTGCCGGAGGTATTGTACTACGTTCAAGTGGAGGTACCTTCAAGTGAAAACGAACTTTTATAAATTCAGTGATAAAAGTGAAAGATTTCTACCCACCCATTTACCCCATAAAGCTGCTGCAGCTGGAAACATCGGCCCTGAGACAAATCCAATTATAAACCGAATAGCAATTAATAATCCAACGTGTGTACGAGCAGCAACAGGTGTTAGTAATGTTAATAAGCTTGAAGCAAGTATCGCACCTAAATAACTGCATATTCTAAATGAAGATACTAGAATCTTCTCTTTCTCTGATACCTCCAAATATCCATTTTGCACCGAATTTTTCGGCCAAATTGCCTGAAATTTACTTTTGTCTGTGGATATTATATACGGCGTTTCTACACTAACTTACCCCCCAATCTGAAAGAAAAGTTTTCAATTTACATGATACAGGAACCATTGATAAAGACTCACAGTTGTGGTATCATGTAACCGTAGTAAAAAGCACCCAGTACTAGACCTTGGGTTTTTGGCGACCAGTCAAATTCATAATGCTAGAAGATAGAACAAAAGTGATTTTTTAAATCTATAAATTTGCTTAATTATGAACTTAAAGAAAAATGTTTGCTCTTTAATGTAAGGCGTCTTTCCGCTCTGTAGGCGTTTTCGTCCCTACATTATGGCACGATCGATATGAAGAACACGTAATGGACAGCTTTCTCGCACAAGCAGTTAAATGCGATCTCTAATGGTATATTATCATCATAAATACATTATTCGTACAACGTTAATAAAATACTGTTTTCATCACTTACGATTTCTGGCCTGGACGAATTTTTATTTTGTAATGGACAGGCTCTGTTCGACCGGTTTAAAGCGCTTTGTGGTGCTACCTTTGAATACAGAGAATAGTAACAAGACAACATGTAAATTTTCTCTTTCCTCTACCATTTCAACAATCGCAACGGAAAGATTGACACGCGAAGCAAACAAGCAGATAAATCCAACAAAACACCACATGGCTAATGAATGACGTGCGTTAACATTCCTGCAATATACTGGATCTTAAGATAAAAATATTGTTACAAATTTTAAGTCATCAT